TATTTTCACTCACTTTTTATAGCGTTTCTTGTCAAACTCGGGACAAATTATACATTTTTCTGCGTTTTTGTTGCATTTTTGTTATGTTTGAAATTAGCATTGAAATTTACATTTTTGAGTGATTTGTGTTTAATTCAAGTGTTTGGATTGATTTTATATTTTTTTCTTCTTATTTGTGTTATCAAATTTCAGCATTCTATTATATTTCAATGTTTTTCTTGATACAATAAACAAATGAAGTGCATTATTTTTCTAATAAATGAATTGCATTAATTAATCAAGAAAAGTCTTCAGCGAAAGTCTGGGTTGCATCCCCCAGCGAAAGTCTGGGCTCGTCTAATTGACACTGTGAAGCTTATCTTATTCCCATTCTCTCTTCGGGATAAAGCTGTTCGGTGGTTAAATTCTTTTCCACCTGGTTACTTCACCACCTGGAATGCTCTTCATCAGGCGTTTATGCATGAGTATTTTCCTCCATCGACGGTTGCAAAAATCAGAGCATCAATTCAAAATTTCCGACAGGCCCCGATGGAAACACTAGGTGAGGCTTGAGATCGATACACAGGCTTACGGAGAAAGTGTCATGCACAGTTGATGGATTCTTATGACTTGATGTTCTATTTCTATTATGGACTTCAAGTTGTAAGTAAAAGAGAGTTGGACCATTATTCAAAAATGGGTTCTTTTCTCGACATGACACCGAAAGAGAGTGAAACGCTCATGGAGAATGTGATCTCAAGTGCTAAGAACTGGTACTATGAGACAAAATCTTCTTCCGAGACTACACTTCAAGGCACTGATCAAATTTCAGCCCTCACAACAATAATTGACAACCTGGCAACTCAAGTGAAGAATCTTAAATCACAATCAAGTCAGGTAAATAAGCTGAGTCATTTCATGGAAGTTCAGGAAAGTTTGGTAGATGCTAGTACTGAAGCACCCACAATTGATGAAGAATCCATAGACCACAGGTGGATATCCACGGAAAAGCAAAACTTAATGGGGTTGCAAAATGAGATATTTGATGAAGATGAAGAGATCTTTGAGCCAATTTCAGAAAATGTTGATGCGGAAGACATTTCATGCGAAAGTGATGTTGAAAATGGTGAACTTTTGAAACCATATCTTGCCGAATTTGATGAGGCATCTCACTCGGAGGAGGAATTTGAGATAATCGTGATTGCATCATGTGAAGAATTGAAGAAGAAAACTCCTGAGTCAATCAATGAAATTGAGGATCTCCTAGATCTACTTTTGGAGACTTTGGATGTGCAAGTTGACCAAGAAAATTCTGCACAGAATGAGAAAGAAACAAGTGTGGAGGAGGTCCTTGACTTGCTCCTTGATGTACTTGATACTAGTACAAGGCACCAAACTGTCCAGATTGAGGAGGAGGATCTCGAGAATGAGGATGACTTTCCTTGTTTTATTTTACCACCTGAAAATGAGAAAGATGCACAAGCCTTTGTTCTTGCTTGTGAGTTTTTTGTGAAACAATGGTGGTACACCAGAAGAGTTCTGAGGGCCGAGCTGTATGATCCGAGAGTTGGAAGATCAAGAAAAAAGTGGATAAAAGCGTCAAGCTAGTGACGTTAAAGAAGCGCTTTTGGGAGGCAACCCAGGTGTTAAAAAGGATTACAAAAATTCAAAAAAAAATTAAAATAATAATAATAAAAAAAACAAACAAAAAAAACTAAAAAAACAGCACAAAAAGAAAAACAAAAAAAAATATTTCATTTTTTTTCACTTGTGTGTTTGTTTTAATTCACCATTATATTTTTTTTTCTTTAGCTTTTTCAGGTTAATCACTATGGTTCCCCGATTGAATTAAATTTTGATTTGTGCTTGCTCTTTCAAATCTTCTTCAATATTGAGCACAAGGGGAGTACTTCTTACCTTTCTCTATTAATTTTTATCCTCCATGTGTGTTTATTTGTGACTCATCTTAAGTGTGAGGAGGGTGTTTTTGAAAAAAAATGTAGATTTGCCCTGTTTCATTTTGATTTTATTTTGAGACCTCGAGGACGAGGTCTATTCTCCAAGTGTGAGGAGGGTTATGAACAGGGCAATGGACTGATCTAGTGTGCATGACAAGAGGCTCTGATGAACTAAGTTAAGATCAGTAATAAGCTAAGGTGTAATCTACTTTAACTAATTTTTTTGAAAGTTTTGTTATAACTAATCTTTTTATTAGCATCATACTTATAAAAAAATCTTTTAATAATAGGAGATATGCTTGATTTCTACTTTGAAGTTGTGTGCACAAGTTTGAGTTTTTGGTTTAAATGGTTGTTCAGTCTTACTTTCTTTTCATGAATATATACAATGCTCCTTGTTTAGCTTAATATTTTCAAATTCTTTAAATCGGGGAGAATTCTATCCTCGAATGAGGCTCTGCTTTTAGCATTTGATAGAATATCTTTCGCTATTCTGGTTGTACTTGATTATTGATTTGAGAAGTGTCTTCGTTGGGAGTCTCATCTCCGAGAAGGGGCGCTGCTCTTCTCATTATCGTATTCTGCGAGAGTTGAGTATATTTTATATATATTATGAGATAGCCCCACAAATCGATGATTTAGTTTAACCATAAAATTCATACCAACTTGGCTTGCTTGTAGCTCCCCCAAGATCATTCTAAAAAATTGCTAGGGGAGCTAAAACTGTTTTTAGAACTAGATCTTGTGTGTATTTCATGACTAGTTAAGAATGACTGAGGGTGTTTTAATGTGAATGTTGACTTGTGCTCATAACTACTTAGTAGCGATTTTTGCATATATGCTAATACTAAATGATTTTTAATTAGTATGTTGTGTCATAAAAGTTGAGTTATTAATGTGCTTTCATGGAAATATAGTTAGGTAGATTAAAATCTTAGTCTATTAATGGTTCAATCTAAGTGATCTTGAGTCCTTGAGTTGTGTGCACTATAAACAGTTTGCCTTGAAAATATGTTTGAGAGTAGTTTTGTTGCTTGAGGGCAAGCAACGCTTAAGTGTGAGGAGATTGATAAGTCTGATTTGTTCATATATTTTCACTCACTTTTTATAGCGTTTCTTGTCAAACTCGGGACAAATTATACATTTTTCTGCGTTTTTGTTGCATTTTTGTTATGTTTGAAATTAGCGTTGAAATTTACATTTTTGAGTGATTTGTGTTTAATTCAAGTGTTTGGATTGATTTTATATTTTTTTTCTTCTTATTTGTGTTATCAAATTTCAGCATTCTATTATATTTCAATGTTTTTCTTGATACAATAAACAAATGAAGTGCATTATTTTTCTAATAAATGAATTGCATTAATTAATCAAGAAAAGCAAAAAAAAAAAGAAAAACTAACTGCAGCTAAGCTGCGTGAAAAGAGAAAAGCAAACGAAAGAAAAGAAAAGAAAATAAAAAGAAATGAAAAAAAAAGACAGCTAAAAAATGATCATGATGGGCAAGATAAATAAGGCTGCCGACACTATTGACGGTGGAGAAGAGAATCCAGACCAGCGGCTATTGGCGAGAAAAAAAAAAGACTTGGGAGAGCAGCTGGGCAAAAAAAAAAACACAATTCACCCGCGGCAGAGAAGATATAGCAACTGGCCGGAAGGGAAGAAACGCAGGACGAAAACCGCAACCAGCTACTCCATGTTCATTCATCTTTCAATCTTAGTTGTTAAGGTTTTGTGTTAAATTTCTTCTTTAATTTCATGTTTGAGTAAGTTTTAAATTTCACTCTTGGATTACTTATCAATTGGAACTACTCTTAAGTTGGATTTTGAACTATTATTATGTTGAATGAATTTGTATTTGAATTATATGTTTACTTGTATTACTTTAGCTCCTCCATTAATGTGGTTAGTTTCTTGCTAAGCATGTTAGGCTAAATTTCCATGGGGTTTGGATTTGGATAAAGTTAAGGTTAGTGGGTGTTCTTGAATATTGAGTTGAATTTGGGAAAATTCTCTAATTTTTAGAACCAGTTGTTTGAGATGAAATTGAAAGAGTAATTTGTGAAATTGATCACTTCACTTGTGAATTTTTGGAAAATTAATACTTTCTTGTCTATGAGTTTAGAATTAATTTTAGCTCACATCTCACACACCCTAAACTAAGCCTAGAAATAGGACATGTTAGGGCAATTAATATTAATTTCTTGTCTATGAGAATTGATATTTAGTATCTTTAGATTAGTGAAAATTTCCCATTTTTGTTCATAATCAAGACACCCAAGATCCTTAATTCCAAATCTAGACCCCACTTTTAATTAGTTAATTTTTCGTTACTAGTCACATTGAATTTACCTTTTAAGTATTTTATTTTTGAAACTTTACTCATCCACATGTTTGCTAGTTTAATATTTTTTTATTAGTTAATATTATCTCTCAAGTTATTTTGCATTTCACTAGTTTTAGTTTACTCATTAATGTCATTTAATTAAATTCTCCACTACTACTTTTGTTGTTTAATTTTATTTACTTAATCATTATCACAATTAATCGTTTGAGAAAGCTTGCAACGACTCGTACTAACCGGTGACCGATATTGAAAGCAACACTTCCCTCCGCCACTCCTCAGAGACACGATACTCGGGGATAAATTTTTTCATACGGAAGGGTTAAACTCCGTTATACTACAACGCCGCGAAAGCGGGTTATCAGGGGGCGAGGAGCCATCTAGAGCGGCATCAGCTGGAGGTGAGGCCGGGGGCTCTAAGGTCGACGCGGCCAGGAAGAAGAAGAAGCCGATGAAGGTGCCTGAGCCCTTGGCGAAGAAACAGAAGGTTGTTGCCTCCGGCGAGCAACTTGCCTCTGATGACGTGGTCATCCTGGATGAGGGGCATGCCTCAGGCCCCACGCCTCAGGAGTTTGTCAACAAAGACTTCTTCGACCGGGAGAAGCTGGAGGCGGTCATGTCGAAAGGCAGCTCTATCCTGGATGCCACTCTCTACCCCTCGGTGTTCATGAGCTAGGTGATGCCCTCGGGTGACAGGGTGGCCCTCGCCCGGATGGACAATGATTTCCTCAACTCCAGGATTCTCCTGGGCAGTTCCTCCGTAAGTCATTCCTTCCTACGTCCGTTCTTTGGCCTTCGTTATTATGTAAATGTCTGATCCTTTGTTTCTCTTCTTCTTGCAGACCTATATGGGCCTGTGTGAGCACCTCCAGAGGGATGAGCAGCTAAGGAACGCCAAAATTGCTGCTGATGAGGAGAATGCCAGCCTCCGGAAGAAGGTGGCCGACCTTGAGGAGACCCTCCGGTCGGTAACAGAGGGGGCGGACCAACGATTGGAGGCTGTCAAGGCCGAGGGAAGGGCTGAGGGCAAGACTGAAGCTGAGACGGTTGCCAGGGAGGCTGCCCAAGCCGCTGCTGAAGCCACCGAGAGGGCCAAGATCGAGGCGGTGGGTGTGGCCGAAAAGTCCACTGTCGATGCCTTCGTCGCCGAGGGCTGGATGGCCGAGGACAGAAATGAATGGGTTTCCTCGGTGGTGGAATAGAGCGTAGACGACGGGGTTGAAGGCCCCGACAAAATGTGGTTGGCCGCGAAGGGCGAATCATATTATCAAGGGGGTGAGTTCTTCACCCAACGTCTGGTATACCGAAAGCTGGCGTGGCACTTCAACATCCCTCCAGAAAGCTTCGAGCTGGAAGCCTACGGCGTCCCCTCTCGTCAGCCAGATATCAGGACCCCCCTCCCCTCGGGCGAAGAAAGGCCCGTGCTTGAAGATTCAGAGCTGATGCGGGAGTGCATCCTGGATGATGAAGACGAGGTCGACGATGGTGCAACCTCCAAGGCCTCCGAGGCAGACGCTTCTGAATGACTTGTACTTAGAACTTTTTAAACAATGCAGTGTAATAACATTCATGAGATTTCGGCTTCGGCCTATATGGAACAAACACTTTATATATTTTTTTGTGAATGGATGCTTTTATGCCTTCGGTTTCTTATGCTTCCTTGTCTGCGTGTGGTTTCTTTACTTGTGCTTTGTGAATGAAATTTGAATCCTCCTCCATCAACGAAAAGAGGCTATCGATTGGGGGGGGGGGAATTCAGACACAAGCATAAAGCTTAAGCCTCCGGCACCTTCTGATGTGCCGGGGGCCCTTAAGTCAGGGATTTAGAAAAATCCTCACCAAGTCTACAACCAGTAGCCTCCTGTAGGAATGTGTACTTAGCAAGTTTCTAATTCCCATGTTGAATAGGAGCTCTCGGTGTCGGTTGATGTGCCGGGGGTTCTCCAAAATGTGGACTTAGTAAATTTCTAACTCCCTTGTCAAATAGGAGCCTTTGGTGCTGGCCGGTGTGCCGGAGGCTTCCAAAGTGTGGACTTAGCCAATTTTCTCGTTTGTAGAATAGGAGCCTTCAGTGTTTGGCTGATGTGCTAGATGCTTCCAAAGTGTGGACTTAGCCAATTTTCTCATTGATTGCTCGGTGAGTCTACTCCCCCTCACTCCATTTTTTTTGGATGATGGGGGGAGGCTTCAAGAAACTTGGTTTCTCGGGAAGACTTGCTCTATTTGGGAGGCAAAAGAATAAACCGTTGGCTCCCCCCTCGGGGATTGACCTTCCGGATCCCGAGGGGTTTGAGGGTCGTTTCCTCGGCCTGAGACAATGCGGTTGCCTGCCTCCCCTTCGGGGATGGCACGAAAAGCGTCTCGGTTTTGAAAGTCGTTCCCTCAGCTCGTGACATGGTCTGTTGCCTGCTTCCCCTTGGGGGATAGTATGAGAAGCGTTTCGTTTTTGAAAGCCGAATCTTGGACCCGGGACATGGTCAGTTGCTTGCCATTACCCTTGGGGTAATGACTCGGAAAGCGTTTCAGGGAAGGGTTTTATTTGCGTGTTAGGCGCAAATTGCCGGGGGCGTCCTCGAGGGGAATGGCTTTCTGCTTAGCAGAATGCTGTGGGTGTTTATTCAAAACACTTGGTGCTATGTTTCATAGTCTGCCTCTGGTACTTGGTATCGGGGGCTTCAACCAAAAACACTTGGTGTTTTTATTTCTTCTAATTGTGGTTTGATCCGAAGATCCATCCTCAGTACTTGGTACCGAGGGCTTGTGCTTGCCTTTTAGAATGGAACACTTTATTTATCGTGAAATAAGGCCTTGGGTCGGGGGCTTGCCCGAGGGCTTGGCCACTCAGATAAGTTGTTATTGATAGTACTTGACTAGGTGGTGTACATTCCAATGTCTAGGGACCTCGGTCCCATTGGGGTGTTTTAGCTTGTATGTTCCAGGTTTGATGATGGCTGTGACTATGTATGGCCCTTCAAACTTGGTGCCATTTTTCCGCCCTTGGTCAGTTGACTAGCATCCCTATTTCGGAGGACGAAGTCCCCCACTTGAAATTCTCGGGAACAGACCTTGGCGTCGATGTAGCCTTTTACTTGTCTTTGGTAGTTTTCCGCCCTTAGGAAGGCTTGCTCTCGGCGCTTTGAGATTAGGTGAAGGTCGAGGGCCATATTGGCATCGTTGACCTCATGTTCGTATTGATCCACCCTTCGGGTGGGGAGAGTTACCTCAGTGGGAGCTTTAGCTTCAAACCCATAGCACAAGGAGAAGGGTGTTTCGCCAGTTGCCCTCCTGGGGTGGTGCGGTATGCCCATAAGATGTTGTGAAGCTGTTCTACCCAACCTCCCCCTTCGGCTTCCAGCTTCTTCTTTAACCCTTCCAACAGAGTTCGGTTGGCGTTCTCCACCTGACCGTTGCCTTGAGGGTAGACAACTGATGAGAAGGTGTGCTTGATGCCCCAGGCCTCTAGGTGGGCGCAGAAGGGGGCTGCCTCAAACTGAGTTCCATTGTCGGAGATGATTTGTTGGGGGATGCGAACCTTGTGAGGATGTTTTTGAGAACAAAATGGCGGCACCTGGCCTCGGTTATGCTAGCGAGGGGCTCCGCCTCCACCCATTTGGTGAAGTAGTCTATGGCCACGATGATGTACCTGTTGTTGGAGGTACCCCTCGGCAAAGGGCTTACTAAGTCGATGCCCCACCTGGAGAATGGTATTGATGTGCTGATGGGGGCGTAGTTAACCACTGGCCTTCCGGGAGCCTTCTGAAAGTGTTGACAGGTGGCGCACCTTCGAGCGAGATTTGCACAATCTCGGGCCATCGTAGGCCAGAAGTAGCCTTGGACTATAAGCCTTCGGGACATAGAGAAGGGTCCCTGGTGAGCTGAGCAAGTGCCACTGTGCACTTCCTCCATTGCGACTTCGGCTTCATCCTGTTGAAGGCACCGGAGTAACGTGCCGTTGTAGGATTGTTTGTAAAGTCTTCCGTTTTCGAGGGTATAACTTGGAGCCCTAAGCTTTGCTAGTTTCGCGCGGGCTTCGTCCTCGGGCAGTTGCCCTGTGGTGATGAAGTGGATGATATCCGAAATCCAATCCTCTGGCCTTAGGTGCATCTCCATGACGGGGCTTGCATGTATGCTTGATAGGCTGAGTTCCTCGATTCTTGCGATCTTTGAAAGGTGCTCCGGAGATTCAGCCGAAAGTTTCGATAGAATGTCCACCTCAGAGTTCTGAGCCCTTGGTATTTGAGTGAGGGAGTGTGCGTCAAATACCTTTAGCAACTCCTTGGCCGCTTCCTTGTACTGCTTCATTCTCCCTTCCTTGGCCTCATATTCCCCCGAGATTTGGCCAACAACTAGCTTGGAGTCGCACTTCACATGTATTTGCTTGGCCTTCAGGTTTCCTGCCAGCCGAAGGCCACAGAGGAGGGCCTCATACTCAGGTTCATTGTTGGAGACCTTGAAGGAGAAACAGATGGGATAGTAGGCTCGAAAGCCTTCGGGTGTGATGAGGACGACGCCTCCCCCGCATGCTTTGGCAGCCGAGGAGCCGTCTGTGTAGAGAGTCCACCATTCGTCTAGGGGTGTCGGGGGCTTCTCGTCCACCACAGATCTTGTCGTGCATTCCGTTACGAAGTCCGCCAGGGCTTGGCCTTTGATGGCGGGCCTCGTACGGATGCCTATGTTGTATTGGCTAAGGAAGATAGTCCATTTCACCATTCGAGAGGAGCTGGTGGGGCTCCTCACCAATGCCCCAAGGGGTTGGTGCGTGAGGACCTGGACTAGATGGGCTTGGAAGTAATGGCTTAGCTTCTTGACGGTCCAAACGATAGCTAGTACTGTCTTCCCCACGGGAGAATACCTGAGTTCTGCCTCCCTGAGGGTCTTGCTGACATAGTAGATGGCATGTTGGATGTCGTCTTCCTCCCGGATCAGAACCGAGCTGATGGCCGCAGGGCTAACACTAAGATAAAGCTATAACGTTTCCCCCACCTTGGGCTTGGAGAGAACAGGGGGTGAAGACCAGTATCGTTTCAATTCTTCAAAGGCTTCTTGACACTCATGGTTTGGAAGAAGGGGAGGGCCTTCTCTGCTGATTTAGAAAGAAAGCGACTGAGGGCTGCTAGGCGGCGTGTCAACCTTTGGACTTCTTTCACGTTGCGTGGGGGCTCCATGTTGATGATTGCCTGGATCTTCTCGGGGTTGGCCTCGATACCCCTTTGACTAACCATGTAGCCCAAAAACTTCCCCCCTTGCACACCGAAGGTGCATTTTTGGGTTCGACCGGAGATTGAAATTTTGCATGACGGCAAAAATTTCTCGGAGGTCCTCGGCGTGGCTGGTCGATCGTTTGCTTTTGACGATCATGTCGTCGACGTAAGCATCCATGGTGCGCCCTAGGACGGCTTGTAAGACTCTGGTCACCATTCGGGTGTACGTGGCGCCCGAATTCTTTAGGCCGAAGGCCATAACTAGATAGCAGAAGATTCCCTCAAGCGTCATGAAGGCTGTCTTTTCCGCATCACCCTCATGCATATATATATTTTGTAATATCCTCGAAAAGCATCGAGGAAAGACATGATTTCACATCCCTCCGTTTCATCCACCAGCTGGTCAATGTTCGGTAGAGGGAAAGGATCCATAGGGCATGCCTTATTCAGGTCCATGTAATCCACGCACATGCGGAAGGTGGGTGGTTTTTGTGCAAGGACCACATTAGCTAACCACGAAGGGTATTTTACCTCCCTGATGTGTTTGATGGAGAGGAGCATAGCGACCTCTTTCTTTACGAAGTCCCTCCTTTCGGCTGAGAGAGGTCTTCTTCTCTATTGCATAGGTTTTGAGGAAGGGTCCACCGCCAGGCGTGAGTGATCACCTTTCGGTGGATTCCCGGCATGTCCTCTGGCCCCCATGCAAAAACAATGGAGTAGGCGTGGAGGGCCTCCGTGATGCCGGTCTTCAAGTCTTCGGTGAGCTTGGCTCCAATCTTCATTACTCTCTTCGGCTTGGCCGGATCGAGTACGAAGTCTTCAATCTCCTCGGAAGGTTCAGCCCTCGGCCTACATTCCTCCCCTTCTATAGCGGCGGTAATAGTATCAATGTGGAGTTCAGTTTTGCTAACCTTCTTGGTGAGTTGGAGGTAGCAAGCCCGGAAGAGCTTTTGGTTCCCCCGGAAGTATCCCATGCCGCCGGTCGTGGGAAATTTGAGGCTGAGGTGCCTCATGGAGGTGATGGCCTCCAAGTTTTCGAGGTCAGGCCGGCCGAGGATGATGTTATGTGCATAGTCGAGGTTGACGACGACAAACTCCACTTCGAGCTTGGCTGTGTGG